CTCTTAATTCAATGAGAAGAAAGGTTTGTACTAATATTGTTTAGACAAGATATCATGTCTACATCTTGCCCTCTGAATAAATACTATGAAGACAATATTTAATGTATTGATTATTGTAACTGTCCTAGTAACCTGTTTTGAAATTGTTTCTTTGCTATTTTATCTTCTCATTAAAATTAATAAAAAATTAAAAAAAGGAAATCCAAATTACATTGAGATTATATCTCATCCCATGCAGATTGTATATTACAATAATACACAAAAGCATATTTGCTGGTGAATATGTAAAAAAAAAATTAGCCCTTATACATTACTGGTAAGAGTACTGGTTCATAGAGCTATGGAAATTTGTAGGTGGGGGTCCTCCCAAAATCTAGTCTAGTGGTCTTATTTGATCCTAATTTACCATTCCTTGTTATATATTGAAAGGAATCAACTATATTATATAGATACATATATATCTGTGATTATTGAAACATGATTTAAAAAATAAGCAATAGGGCAGCCTTGATTCCCAGCAACCCATGAATGGATGACTAAAAACATGCAGAAGAGTAATAACTAGTCTTACTAAAGTATAAAATTTTGTTATTTGTAGTGTAATGGGTGAAACTTCAGGCCATTATGTTAAGTAAAATAAGTCATGCTCAAAAAATGGCAAATAGCACATTTAATATGTGGAATCTAGAAAAAGCAAAAAAGAGACAATATTAAAGTAGAACTAGACTGTTAGACGAGGAAGAGAATCACTGAGAGTAAAAAAGAATGACAGGTAAAATGGCAGATGGAAATGATCACTATAATACATGTAAGAATATACCAAGTTGAAATAAATCCTGTATAACTAATATGAATTAATAAAAATATTGAAAGAACTAGTGAAGGACCTTCAGAAGGTAAGCACATCAATATATGAGTAAAATGGAAATATTAATAAAAACACTATGAATCTAAAAATGCTGCTAAAATATAGAGTAGAAAACATAAATGATGCAAAAAATCCACTTTATGGATAGTTAGATTTGATGAAATAGAAAAGACATCAAGTTTAACAGAGGACATCAGAAATGGCTAAGAGTGACAAAGGAAAAGGAATGGTTTACATAACCTATTACGTGGATCACTTTCAAGGGGGCTACCATGTAAATTGTGGTAGAATGCTCAAGAATAAGAAGAAATTAAAGAAAGGATTTGTAAAAATACTGGTTGTAAACTGCCTGAATTATGTGTCATACACTATGGGAAACATGATTATAAACTTAAATCATCTAAGAAGAATAGGGAAGAAATGAACCATAATGTGTAGAGGCACAGAAGGAAAAGGGGTCAAATAAGAGAAGTTCTCACTTTCTTATGATCCCTGACACTGACCGAGTCTCCAAGAAAAATATATAAAATAGTGAGATATGACCTAGGAGAGCTTACAGAGAGGTTTGTGTTACTCACTGGATTTGGGTTTTCCTGAATTCTGAATTGCATATTCATACCCCCAAATATGCAATATATGCAAATCAAATCAGTAAGTGGTACCATTTTAAGTATCCAGCAGACAAGAGAAAGTATTTGAAAAGATTATCTAATGAAATAAGAAAAATAAAGAATATGATGTCATCATTTGTATGAGAAATCACTGGACTAAATTGAATAAAAATTAATTTTGAAATGACTAAAAAATTACTTGAGAAAAGCAGACATAAGCAGTGCTAGAAGCCTAACAGAAGGAAGGTATATATGTGCTTCACAAATCTAAACAATATCATAAGAATACTCAACTGGCAAGTTTTATCATTGAAAGAAATCTAAAGCCAATGTAGCTTCTCTGTAAATAGCATTGAATGCTCACCAAAGTTACCTACACAACTTTATGCTGACAAAAATAAGGTCTCTGATAAAGCAACCAGTCAATAAATACAGAGTCTAGTGAAAATAAATTCAAGTTTCATCTGGGCATGCTATCTGTTCCCCTGTGAAGGTGGTAAGGTCACCTGAGAAGCCAGAGGATTACAGTTCACTGGTCCACCGTGACTTCTGACTCATCTGCAAATCTAAGGCTCCCAAATCACCCTTAGAGTCAATAATTCACACGAAGACCTCATGGAAACCACAAAGAAATGTTTGTTTTACTTGTAAAGTTTATTACAGGAAAGTACAGAGAACAAGAAAGTATTCACAGAACAAAAGAGAATACAGGTGATTTTGAGGATAAGTGCCTGTGTAAGCTCCCAGTTGTCCTCCCAGTGGCGTCACACAGGTACCACTTTCTAGCACTAGTGAAACACTACTCTTGCAGATTTTTAACAAGGCAGATCACCGTAGCCTGGTGCCCAGAGCTTCTCAAGTGCCATCATGAACTATCCATGTGATTGGCTTTTCTCCTATTAGTCCAGAGATTGGGCAATTCCTTCATGGTCTGAAGTCCCCCTCATATATCACATTGTTATATTGTCTGTTGACCATAGCACCAGGCAAACAAAGGCCACTTTCTTCAGGCATGACATTTCAAAGTCTAGGATTTACCTCCCAGTGGCTTAAAGCAAATGATAGACCTCACTTTGGGTAAAACTATATACTTAGTCTTTTCTACCCAATGATCTCATATAGTACAGGATTTGTGTCTCTCCATTGTGTATTGCACATATTGCATACAATATGACAATAGTATCATATGTGTTTGCCCAACATTTGAGGAGCCTAGTGTGTGGTAGATACACATTTATGCTTACAGTGGTTCTGTCCCATGGCTTTTTTACACACACTTTTAATGTTAGTTAATTACACACTGTATTTCCAACTTAAAGGTGAATGGCACATGGAGTTAAAGGGTGTGGAGCATCCAAAGTGCACCAAGGAGTGTAACAGCAATGGTGAGTTAAAGAGTTCTAGGAAATTGTAGGCATGGTACTTTTGGTTCTAGGAGAATAAGGGGTATAAAGCAATCAGGAATGGAGGACAAAATGGACAGAAAAGTATAATAGATCAAAGTGGGTAAACAGGAAATAAAAGGCATAGGAAGTTGTTCATTGACTAAAACATATAACAGTCTGGTCAAGGTGCAAACATGTCTCATTGCAGCAAAGTGACAGTCTGTATGTCATAGATCCCCTACCCATCCCCTACTGACATTTGGACTAATGAGCCTGTGAAATCTCAGTGATAAAAAAATGAGAGAACATCTCTGCTGAGGCCATGAGACCCACACTGAGAAATACCTTTCCAGCAATAACAATCCTTGTTCTCCAAACATCAAGTTATTCATTAAACCACTATCTAATTTGAGAGCCTCTGCACTTGGCATAAAGTGCTTTGATCTTTCTTTACAAGCCATGCCTGCCAAGCTTACTTTTCCCATGCACTCTGCCATTTACTCTATGTGCCTTTTTGTTAGTATCAGTAAGAGCTGTGGTCACTCTGGACTTTGGGACTTTGCTCCACTGAGAGCAATTGGTCATCCCAGAAGCCCTTGACCTTGTAGGTCTTGCATCTTTCTTCTGCCGTGTGGTAGGTACATTGCTGAGTGAGAGACTGAACTTTCTGCAGTGGTTTCAGTAAAAGGTGCTTGCTTTTCTCAGGATATCTAAGTCTCTGAACCTGGGCTTAGCACTACCATTATGGCCTAGAAATCTGTTTCCTGTTATCACTGAATCTGGACCTTGTCCTAGTATGGAAACAACAGAGTTCCATTGGGGTTGAAGACAGTTGTACTTAGGTTGAGTGCCTGCATGTGGCCACACGCCTGTGGCCTTGTTCTCTGAAAGTTTTATCCATTTCATGGAACGGCTAATTGCCTGGATTTGGGCTGGGACTGTGCCAGCAATTTGGGGATCTACTTACTATGATGCTGGGTGTATCCTGCTGGAGAGAACACTTTTCACCACAGAGCTGTGAACAAGAGAGTCTTCAGTTCTATGTTGGCAAAGTCCTGAATGTATGTACAGCTTCATTTCTTACTGTTCCTTTCCATTTTCTCTATCCCGATTGCTCTACTGTGTACATTGTAGGTCAGTGGTTAGTAACAGCGACCTTTTTCAACTCTACTTTGACTTCCTTTTGTGTGTGCTCCAAGGTTGTCTGTGAATGATGACTCCTGTACAACACTGTGAGCTATTTTTTGACTTTTTAATGGATGAGTTTCTTTATATGTGATTTTTATGTATTGTTTGATTTCTCTTATTTTCTTTTCGATTCTTTTTCTTTTTCTTTTTTGATTAGAAACTAGCCATGTAAATATAGTATGGATATATCACTATATCCCCTTCCTCCAGATACTGCCTTTTTTGTTTGCTTGATCATGTTTTGGACTTTGTAGTGTATGCTTTGTACTCTAGGTTGATGAACGTAAGGTGTTAATCTATTCTTCTGAGGTCTTTAGTAGGGTTTCTTCTTGACTAATTCATGCGCTATAATGTTCTAAATTTTAAAAATGCAAACATCTTTAAATATCATACATCCTAAATGATTACCTGACACAAAGGGTAGAGCAAAGAGTTAGGGAGAAGTAATCAGGAAAAGGAAAGGAGAGGAGAGGTGTAGCTGTCCTTCAGCATCTGGGTCAGTGCCTCTAGAAGGCACAGTCAGCATTCAGTTTCCTGAGTACACGCCACAAAGATCTTGAGTTCTCATGATCTCTAATAGGTATGGGTGGGCTGCTCGAGGAGCACATACGTATGACCTCGTGCCATGCATATGGGGATGGGCAGATGCTACACCACTAAGAGATGAAAATGCCAGAAATTTAAACTAATTCACTGTTCCAGTTTTATCTTGGATGTTGCAAACCTTCAGTGTGATTTAAACTTCCACAGTGCTCATGGTAGACAGGTTCTGTAAGCGAAGTATTTATTTGCATAGAAAGAAAAATACTGGATTAAAATTTGCAGCACAAGTATTTTTAAACTTGTATTAAATATTGCCTTACTGGGTAGTACATCCTGCAAATAAAGAATTTGTTTTTTTTTTATATATATAATTCTTCAAGGAGAAAATAATATAAACTTTAACTCATGGTTACATATTTGGCTGGAAAAATACCAGTTTGGCCTCGAAGTTTGCCTTCCCACCAATCGAAGTGTGACTCCGTTTTTGATATAACTGTGATTCTTTCACCAGCTTGAAATGGCAGATCACCTGGCTGCTGCCCTTCAAAAGAATACAGCGCTGTCACCTCTACTGGCTGACCAGAGTCACCAACTCTCTCCTGATAGCCTCTACTGGCTGACCAGAGTCACCAACTCTCTCTCAGGATATAGCTCATGTTCATTTGTATTACTTTGCGAGCCAGAGTTCTGCTTGGGTGGTGCTGATGATTGCTGTGGTCTTGATGCTGGTTTTGGAGGTAACTCTTTAGCCTTCTGCTGCTCCCGGGCGGCTCTCCTCATGTTGATGCGCTGTCCCTCGTGCTCATACTTTTCGGTGAAGGAATCGAGAATTTCATAGAGGTCTTCTGCCTGAGCGGGCCGTGGCACATCTCCAAACAAAATGTCATAGGCACGGATCTCCTGACAGTAAAATTTCCGGTTGGTTTCCTTCCTCTCGATCAGGCAGCTTCCTTCCAGAGAGATGCCAGCAAAGAGGCCCCTGGACTTGCAGTAGGTGAAGACGGCTGCTGGGCTCCTGAGAGCCACGTTGCCTTCCAGGTTCCTTCCCATGGGCCCCACTGCCACAGTGAAGTTCCCCCCGAGGGTCAGGTTCCCGCCCTTTGCAAAGGCCTCCACAGCCTTGTCATAGTTCAGAATTATCACCAGATCTGAGACCTCAATTCCTATTTCAAATCCCCCACTGAGCCCAGCGATCCCAATGGCGGAGGGTGCAGACCACTTTCCATCTGGAAGGCGTGCCAGGACAATGCCGCTGCCTCCTCGGGCCGTCACCAGGAAGCCGGCTTTGATCACAGACAAGATAGCCAGGCCTTTTGCCTTCGCAATAACATGGGCAGGTATGATCTTGTCAGGTCCATTTCTTGAGGTTATTTCTGTGAATTCTCTTAATATTTTTGCAGCCTTCTTTGCTTCTGACTTCAGATTTGAAGGTATAGGGTTATTCATCGTGCCCAGCTGCTCCGCCGGAGCCGCACACCTGCCAGGAAGAGGAAGGGCCGGTAGACAGGTTCTGACAGGGCGGTTCCTACCTATTAGTCACAAGATTCATAGTGAGGTGGGTTTTTTTTTGTTTGTTTTGTTTTGTTTTGTTTTTGGCGGAACCAGGGATTGAACTCAGGCCCTTGCACTTGCCAGGAAAGTACTTATTCTACTGAGCCGTCTCCCTGGCTCCTCCTCATGAGTTTAATTGCCCCAACTGATACACATATGAAAGAATGGTAGCATTATGGAAAGAGATTAGCATGCTTGGAATGAACAAAGTACGTAGAACAGGCAGCATAGTGATGGCATAAGTTAGTGAAAAAACATGTCCACTAGCACATAAAGAGTATTACATGAATTTCATTGTTAAAGCCAACTTTTAGTAGATATAGCTAAGACATAAACATAAAAGTAGATAAATGGAAAAATATGTTGCTTCTACCAAGTTAATCAAAGATTTAAAAAATGTAAAAAAGTACATTATAGATCAAGCAGTTAACAATTAATGGTATGCTTAAATATAATATGTACGTTTGTTAACATTTTCTACAATGGTTATAAAATGGGTAATAAATATCATGCAAATGATATGAATGTACATGTGCTCATACCTGCAAACAAACAAATTTATACACATGTAAACATATAATATACAAGTATATTTGTATAAGCTGCCAACCTCGTGTGATATGAATATATCTGTGCTTATAATTATGTAAGACAACTAAAAAACCTAATAATTTTATAGAAGTTTATAATTTACATGCTCTGCACATTAATAGGGGATTTTCTTTCTTTTTTTTTTTTTTTTTTGTACATACCAACAAAGCCTGAACACACTGGTTTCATGGATTATGAGAGAAAGAGGCTTGATATTGGGGAAAACCCAGAAACTACTGCAGTTTTATTCACCAAGAATGAGTTGGTGTTACAAGTAAAAGACAAAGAAGAAAGATGAAAGTTTGTAAAAACAGACATAGGTGCTGACCAGGAGAAGGATTGTTTTAGTAGCTCTGGACTCAGGAGAAGACCTAAGGCATCTATTAGTCCTGTGGATGTGTCTCCTCTGCAGCTTGTGCCTGTGCAGGATGGAAACCATGGAGCTTCTGGTCCAGAGCACGAGCCCCACGTGAAAAACATCAGCGAAGGCCAGCAGGGCTGCAGGTAGTGGCTGTGGTGTTGTCATGACGAATACTGGAACAGTAGCCATGAGAGTTGAGGCTTGTGAGATTTTGCTTGCTCCAGTTCCCAGTGGTGTACATAAGAAAAAGAACATTTACAAGGCTGCCCAAAGCCCAGGTCAGGCACAAGGAGGAGCCAACATACTTGGGAGCTTTCTCTTTAATCTCAGCCCACCTGGAGATCCTGGGGCTGATGGTGATGGCTTGCAAGACACTCAGGAAACAGGCGCTGCCAATGGTTACACCTCTTTGCACTCTGTGTGGATAGAAAAGTAGTTTGAACCCCACATCATGGAGGGAAACGTGAAGCTTGCCAACCTAAAGCTGCCATGGTCTGAGGTACTCCTCTACCTAGGAGAGTTAAGAGGTTGGCTCCAGGCAAGTGTTTGAGAATCAGGTCCGTGCACGTTAGCTTGCTCCCAGTGAAGTAAATGAACAGGTAGTAGTAGAGAAGAGAGGAATTGCCCAGAACTACAACCACAGTCTGTGACAAGATCACTCACACAAGCACTTCCCTGGCTGCCCTCCCAACCAGTGCCTGTTGGCTGAGCTGAGGACCCTGCAAGGGAAGGGAAGGCACAGATGGCCTCTTCCAGGCCACATGGACCAACAGCGTCCACCTGCCATGAGTTCCCACTGAAAACTATTTACTCAACGTTTTCTTTTACTAAAAAAGCTCCAAGGGTTAATTTATGTTTTAAGAGCATTTATCATATGTAAGTTCCTGCTATGAAGGCATCATCTTTGATGGCTACTTTCTTTTTCACCATCTACAATGCAAGCATTACTACTATTTGTACAAGAAAGATGACAAAGTCTTAAGCACAGGGAGGTGAAATGTTTGTCTGTGTTCACACTTTGATTAGAGGTAGGGAGGGACTTATCCCTGGTTAAATGCTGATGTAGAGCACCTTCACACTTCCCTAAAATCTGTTTCACTGGATTCTTCAGTTATTCCAGCAAAAAAATCTATCTATCTATCTATCTATCTATCTATCTATCTATCTATCTATCTATCTATCTATCTATAGATAGATCCATTTTATACTCTTTCATAATATTTGATGTTTCATTTCCATTTGTTGGCAAACATTTTTTCTGTTGGCCAGTACTGGTTTTGAGCAAACATCAGGTATCTTAACAATGCAAATGCACTGATGGAAGTTACCACAGCAGAGAGCTGCCTCCTGGTAAGCTATGAGAAATGAGGCAATAAGACTGAGTACCAGTTTTATTGGGATAGATAGATAGATAGATAGATAGATAGATAGATAGATAGATAGATTTTTTTGCCAGAATACCTGAAGACCCCAGTGAAACAGACTTTAGGGAAGTGTGAAGGTGCTCTACATCAGCATTTAACCAGGGATAAGACCCTCCCTAACTCTAATCAGCTACTGAATGACTCACTTGGCTTTAGGTTCTGCACTAAGTACAATAACTCCTGTTACAGGAATTGTTGAATAACCACGCATCTCAGTTACTTTTCTCTCATTGCTGGGACATAATGTCTGACACCTAAAATTAAGGAAGGAAAAGTTTATTTAGTTCACGGTTTGTGGAGGTTTCAGTACATACTCAGCTGTCTCCAAGGCTGAGTGGCACATGGCAGAGGGCAGCCTTTCACGGGAGTGGAAAAGACAGCAAGGACAAGGGGAGGAGCAGCAAGTGTGTCAGCCAGCAAGCCTCTCTCCTTTCCTTATATTGTATGCACTACATACATCCAATATGCCCCGGGGAGTGTGTAGCACTCACACTCAGCATCACAGCATTGGATCATGAATGAATCACAATTTCGGGTTGCTTTCCTACGTTTGGAAAGTTTTCTGCTATTCTGCCAATGTTCTTTTCATGTTGTTTGAGTTGGCGCCTTTTTTTTCATTGTTGTCTGTTAGTCTCATGCTATTCATCTTTGCATTGTCCTGCAGCTGCAATATTGGTATTGGTATCCAGTATTTCTGGATCACTGCTGTTTTTAAGAGATCTTTCTTACCTGTTTGCTAGCTGCAATGGTATCTTCAAGGTCACCATTGCAGCTGAAAGTGTGTCTTCACTTACATTCAAAGAAGTTTGCCAACTTTTAACACAGTTTTTAGTTTCCTGTATATCTCTTTGAATGTTTCATACATTCTGTTTCTTTCCTGTGTTGCTCATTCATTTCCATCATTTTTTTCTATTCTCTATTTTTTATCAATTCCTTCTTTAGAAACGCAGTAATTCTTTCATTATAGTTATCTTTTATTTTGAACCTGGGAGATTGTTTCTGATCTGATTTCCTCTATACCCTTCTGCAGTTGTTTCTTTATTCAGTTTCTATTATTTCAGAGACTTCAGGTGTGTGACCTCGAATTTCTTGTACGCTGACATCTCCTGGATTGCTTGTAGGTAGGCTCAAAGCCTGAGATTGCATTTCGCTCCTTCATTTTGTCAATTTCTGATTCAGAGAGAACTCTTCTGTTTTGATTTCTGTGATACTTTTTTGTGAATATTTGATAGTATGTAGCTGTGACACTGCAATCAAAACCTCTCTGTAAAGAGTCTGTTCTTTACGTTTCGTTTTTATGTCAGAGATTTTTGTTGTGTGTATGTCTCAAGATTTTGCCTTCTCTATTGATAGTGTGATATTGTTCCCATTGAGCACTGTCCTCTATTCTTTGCTATATGGCTTTGAGGAGGCTCTTCTCCAAGCATCTCCCAAAGTTATTACCCAAGGGAGACTGATGGGTCAGGACTCAAAGTTTCCTGGGCACCTTGCCCAAAACATTCCCTCCCTTGGTTTCTTAGGTAACCTACACCAGCCCCAATCCCAATGCTGCCCCACACTGTCTGTCTGGGCACCTCCCCTTTACATACCTGGAGTCTCCCAAGCACACCACTTCACCTAAGTTACCACCTGCTACCTCAGTGCCACAAGGATCCTCCCATAGGTCTGGTCCACAGTCTGGACCCTGCTGGGCCTAGTGGTAAATCCCAGCTCATTGTGTCCAGCTGCAGGCCTCACCCCCTCCTCCTGGCTCCATTCTACCAAATTTGACCAGCACAGCCTGGGTGCAGAACTGGGCTCCTCCTGGCTCCACTCTGCCGAACTCGACTTGTTGGACCTCTCACTCTTTCTCTTTCACAGATCTTTGAATAAATTAGTTCCATGTGATTTCAGGTTCTCATGGATATCTCTACTATAAAAGTTAGGGGAAAATCAACAGAGAATGGAAATCTATGCTTACATAAGTGGGATTTTGGTTGCTGAATACACTGAATACATTGCTCACTGATGTCCCTTGGTCCAGATAGGACTGCATCTGTGTTTATAGCAATATGTCTCTCCTGGCTCTAACTTCTGAGGAGCCACCTGATGATTAAGTCTGTTCTTGTCCTTCAGTGCACATTCAACACTCATTTCACTCTGGGGGAAGGTCCAGAAGCTGCCAGTCTTCTGGAGTTTCACTGTCTCGTGTTAACGAAGAAAGCTCTGGTTTCCAGTAGATTTATTTTGAAAGTCTGACACTGATGTGACTTTAACTGAAAGGGATTTCCCTATGTTTCTTCCTTTCCCACAGTTGATTCACTAAAGCTTGTGCTCATATTTCTGTATTTTGTAAGTTGTTAAGGTCAGTATTGATCTTCAACTTGAATGAATTAAGATTTGGTGATAGATCTCATTGGCTCCTATTTGTACTAACTTCTTCAATGGGCTAATGCATTCATCAATTCATAGCTGGATGAGCTGTTAAGAGTTAAGAATTCATAGCTGAATGCAAGTTAGAGGGAGTAGTTCACTGGGGAACATGACCATCCCTGGTTGCTTGTCCCTTCCTCTCTG